CATACAGACGTGCATGAACATTCATAGCAGAGCCCCAAACTTGAAACAACCCCAATAGTCCACTGGCTGTAACGGCCTAAGGACGGATGTACGGTACAGTCAGTGTAACTGTGTGCGTATGTGACCAAGCTGAGAAGACTGCAGAAGTGGAGGGAAGGGGGGTTGGTTGGGTGCGGACATAAGTGTGGCAGTGTAAGAGTGACGGGGTGGAGGGAGGACAGTGCAGAGATGGGGAGGGTGTTGGGAGTGACAATATAACTGCCTGTGTGACAAAGAGGGGTAGAGGGACAGATCAGTAAAGTGCTGAGGGGAAGCGTGTGAGTGTACTGTAGTGTATCTGAGTGACAAACCTAGGGAGTGAAGAGGGCCAGTGCAGTGAAGTGTGTGTTGGAAGGTAGTGTGTGAGTATTTGGTGCGGGGGGAGAGGATGGAGTATGAATCTGTGTTTGTGAAAGAGGAGGGAGAGTGGATGAGTGTATGTGGGAGAGAAGAAAGCTGTCTGAATGTGTGTGAGAGAGAGGGAGTTGTGTGTGCTGGTATGTGTGCGCGCAAGAAAAGTGGGGGTGGAGAAAAGGAACAGTGCAGTAAAGTGTTTAGTACGTAAAAGAGAGGCATGGCGATTTGAAGAGTGAAACTGATTGCGAAGTTGAGTGAGGCTGAGTAAATAAATATTCACAAACTCTATCACTGTCGCCAGCTTCCTCCGATTTCTTGTAGCTCAAACCTTGAGTGATTTTTTCTTAATTTCTTGGACACTGTCGTTACATTTTTTTTTTTAAGAAAATCGTATTAATACCTTCCTCTCCTTTCCTGACTCCACAGCCGAAGGGTAGAAATTTAAGGAGGCTGAGGGGTATTTTCAGAGCGTTAGGGAGTGTGTGCGCCTGCGTCAACGAGCTGTTACTTTGATGCAGTAGCTTTTTTCCCTCCTGAGGTGGGATTTGCCTTTGGAAGTGCGAGTCTCACTCTCGGGGAGGGGGTGTGTTTGTCCCGTGGCGATGAGTAAATTTCAATACAAAAGGATTAGATAGAGAAGGGGCTGAGAGAGTATTGTTTTTTAGTTTGGGTAAGAAATTAAGCGGTTTACAGAAGTTAGAAGTTTCTACAGGAAATCGCAAAAGCTCTTTCTGAGAGAAAAATCAGGATTTTGATCGAAATCTATGAGTTTTATTTATCTGAGACAAGCTTTTGAAAAATTTTGGACCCCATATATGGAGGTGTCTGTGTCTACTGCCATTTGGGCCAGATACCTATGAGTGCGTGCTTGTTAATAGTCAGTTCAAATTTGGGGGGTTTTAGAACTTGCTTGACATTTGTGTTATTAATTGCTTTCATAAATATAATTACAATTTCACTGCCACTACAAGGGAACATCTTAAACCACAGAAAGCACCACACCAGTGTAACAAAAAGTCCACGGCCCTTGGAGCCCTATTGAATATTCATATTTTTTAAAAAGTAATTTATATATTTAAGCAGTTACAAATGCTCCTAGAAATCTAAATTTAAGTCAGAATTTATTAAAATGGTACTAGCTGGGAGAAGTGTTTTGTTCTGACTGGGAAAATATTTTTATTTTATTCTTGTGTTTGAATCTTCCTCAATTATATCACAGCTTCTGGAGATGTTAAAAAAAAAAAAATCCTCCTGGGCTTTACTGTACTCCAAAGTCAGGTTGTAACATTTGTGTAAGTTTCATTGAGCAGAGTTGAAGCTGGTGTTTGTGGTGTGAGAGTATGTGTTTCTGACCCCTTTTCAACAGTGTTGGGATATTGACTGTACATCATATCTATTGATTAAGAGAATAAGGTACACTCTCATACTTTGAAGTAAGTGTGAAGTAAATTAATGAACTGCTTTCTTTCTCTGAAGGCTGACGCTTACCATAAATGTCGTGTTTCTCCCTGCAAGCCACTCTGAATGATTTTAGCGTGTTGAGAAGGCGTGACAGGCCAGCCCAGAAGGAGGAAGGGGTGGGTGAAGGAGGGAACTCTGTTTAACAAATAAAAAGAGAATTAACTTCATTGCTTTGGTCTCCTTCTATAATAATATTCATTTTAAGGACCTAATAAACAGTTGTTCAAATTTAGGGTTTAATTCTAATCAATACGGTCACCCTCAAAGGTGGAGAAAAAAGCTTTAAGGGAAGACTTCCTTCTATGAATAGTTATTTATTTTATCTTTTTATCCTTGTATCTCTGGAAGGAAGTGAGGCAGGACTATTGAAAAGTTAAATGCTGATTCTGAGAGTAAACAGAGGCATTAACCACTGTTTCCTTAAAAAATGTTAGGAATTAGAAAAACTCAGCGTCATGTGATTACAATTTTGAGCTATCTACTTCTAAGATTTTATCTATATAAATTCACTTTAGAATCATGTAATTCTGACTATGACAATGGATCACAGTGTTTATATGGATTTAATAAAAATACTGGAGTCTTCAATTTGCATTTGATTGGCTTGTAGCATTTGAGGATTTTCACAAAGGTTTGTATATGCACCTTTGTTCATTAGAAAAAATACATTGAAAGTTTTCAAACATATATATTCCATTTGCTCTCATTTTAAAGTTAGGTGTTTATTTCATAGTAGTATTAGTCAAAGGGCATTTTTTTCTTATCCTACTCCCCCTCCACCCCACCAAAAGAATTGGTTAGTATTTGTCATAAGGCATAAGACAGAGTTAAAAAGAATGACAGATAATTATATAATTGATTAAAAATTAAACACCAGTAATCTTGCTTCTGATTTCAATGAAACTGGTCTTAATGGCAGCTCTTTCCCCACTTTGGAAAGTGACTATTATTTTTGAGTCCCCCACAAGAGGAAACATCTGTAATCCATTGTAGATACAGCCTGTACAGCAAAGCATTTCATGGCACATACAGTTCAGTTTACCTTTTGTGATATTGATCACTAGTCTTGTGTATTATACCTCAATAGTATAGAGATTGGAAGGGGAAGGGGAAGAAAGATAGGAGGTACAGGCTTCCTAACATTAATTAAGTTTCCGCCACCCCATATGAAGTTTAACATCCTGGCAGGGAGAGGGATAAATGGATATTCTGCTGTTTCTTGCAAACCTGTGGGATCTACTTTCAATAAAGCTAAAATCTATTAACATTCTGTATGCATCTGCAGCATAAATTTCATTTGAATTTCAAATTTAATAAACCAGGAGGTTTTTAATCATCCCTGGTTTTATTTGTTTGATATTAACATGCTTATTGACCGGGTCTGGTGACCAGTTTGATCATTACAGGACAGCAAAAAGTTAATTAAAACGACCACAGCCCCTTAATCATATCATCTGTCTCATCCATGTCGCTCTCTTTATTACGGGTGATGATGGATAGTCTCCCAGATTAATTTCTCTGTTTCTTCGATTTGGACAACAGCTTTTGGGACCTAATTTACATCCTGGGAACAACTTGCTCAAGTATATCTAACACCTTGCAGCTACAATATACATCAACATCTCCTTAGATGGAGTACGGAAGGGGAGCTTTTTTGCAGGCGGGTTTGAAGACTAATCAATGCTGCGATTTGGGGCGCTTACGCTTTCACAACCAAAGAAATAGAAGGTCCTAAAAGCAAATTAGAAGCCTCGATACTAGCTTTTCCTTTTCAGGGAGTGGGGAGTGAAATATGCCTCTGCTGTTTGGTTAAATAGATTAAAATGTGTAGATACAACGACAAGTAAATAAAACCATTTGTAACCATTAAGTACAATTAGGGATTTATAGTCGAAAACATCAAAGTTATCCGGCTTTCAAGTGTCCGGCACATCTACACCAAATAAGGTTTTGAATGTGTTAAGCGTGGTCCGGTATACACACAGTACTGAAAAAGCCTAATAGGGAGGAAAATGCACATGAACTATATAATAGGCGCGTACCTCTGCTGGGTACGTTTAAGCCGGGCTCTTCGCATCTCAGTTTCCGGAGCGTTGGCAGGGACGCGCAAGCTCTGGAAGCTGACCTGCCCGTGCCCGCTGCAGACCCAGGTGCCCCAGTAGGCGCCTCTTCCCAAATTGGGAGACAGAGCCCAATCCCAGGCCAATATGCGGGGACCCCGCGCGTGGACGCGTTGGCTCCCTAAATAAGCGTGGAGAGGCGGGGAAGCGAGCCGAGCGCCGCCAGCGGCTGCGGGGAGGAGCGGGCTGGGCCAGGTTGCTGATGTTTCCTCCCCTGGAGCTCTCTGGTCAGTTTCTTTCCTGCTGAAAAGAAAACCTGGCCAGGCGTGGACCTGTGGATTCCAAAGTGGTGCCCTTTTGCTGTTCACTTCTGCTTTCGGGCGGCTTTACTAGGAAGTTGCCTAACATTTCCTGGGAAGGGAGGTAATAAAGCCCCTCGCTGGTGGCAGATTGTTGAGCCGTAGGTGGGAAGGGATCAGTCGGCCAGAGCCCACAGAGGGCTGTGTTTTCCTGATTGGAAAATGGGAGCTTCCAAACTGAACAAAAGCCCCTATTAGTGAGGTTATTCGGTTTCAAACTGCCCGGCCACATTTACAGCCGAATCCCTACTTTCCTGGTACTGCTTAATTGGATGCATTTGTTGACCACAGCGAAGCAATAGTGACTCTTGATCTTCTTGCATAGGATCTCCTGCTAAATGCAATGCATTGCTTTAGTGACTCTTTAAATAAATGGGACCACTTGAGAAAGCATATTTTATCTTAATTGACTCGATTTTTTCCCACATCACACTGCTTAGTA